ACCTTTAATGTTAGGTTTTCAGTGAGAGCAATGACGTCAAAGGAACAATTTGTAATTTTAATCAAAAGAATTGGAATGTTTCCCCAGGTTAAATTTCTCTTTTGAATTCCATTATGAAACTGCAAATGTTGTATGAACACTATAGTAAATGCAGAATGATGAGAAAGGACTAATAATATATTGTCACTTGAAATATAGTATCTAATTTTAACCACCAGATCTTAAAAACGGTATAAGAATATTAAAAGATTTAAAGGGATTAGAAGTCCATGAAGAAATTTTATAGCTTTAATTATTCAGAGATAATTTTAATTAATATAATTTAAAAGGAAGGCTGTTTTATGTGATTTGTTCAGCTTATATATGTGACCATCTATATACAACATTAATAACATACTGACACTATATATCTGCAAACTAACCTTTTTAGAAATATAATATAGTTTTGCTTAGACTTTTGCATCAATTTTCTGGAAAAGTGTCAAGTGACCCAGTTGATTTATTATGTAATCAGGATTTTGACAAGTCTACTTAAACAATCGTAACACTAATTTATGAAGACAATAAGACAGTGAGTCTCTTAGCTGTTTTTGATTCCCTAGGATGAGGGCAATAAGAAAAGTGACCCAATCTCATTTAAGAAGAAAATGAAGAAAGCAAGAATTTGTGGATCTGGTGCTACTCGGATCTAGCTACTCAGATTGGTAAGAAGTCATTCATATCATTCCTAACAATGTTTATGTCACAAAAGAAAAAAAAGTGACTAGGTGAACATAAATGGATACACCTTGTCCTCACTTTTCTACTATCTTATTATCCAATATTTTGCGTTTAAAAGAACTTTGAAAAAATTCTCAGAGGGAACCTTCTATGTTGTTGTTGTTACGTACTGTCAAGTCAGACCCAACTCATGGCTTCCCCTCCTTGGGTTTCCGAGATGGTATCACTATGGAAGTAGATTGCTCAACCTTCCTTCTGAGGAGTAGCTGGTGGGTTTAAACCACCAGCCTTCTGGTTAGCAGTCAAGTGCCTTAGGCACTATGCTACCAGAGCTCCTATAGTCTGGGCTTTACAGAGAGCTGCAACTGGGACTGGGGTGTCCTTGGCAGGCCAACCCCAAATGATATAGCAGAGGACCTGATGATGACTGGGCCACTGAAGGATGGCAGCCAACTGACTGCAGGATGCCTTTGCCCATTCATCATGATGTCTCACTCAACAGAGCGTGGGCCACAGAGGGCACAGGGTGCTAGTGGGATGACATGAGGATGTGGGTGGGCAGGGGGAGGATGGACAAGGCCCTGAAGGTACCAGGGCCATCAGTGTGGGGGTTGCTGGAAGGAGGGTAGTGGGAAGAGGACAGAGTGGGGCTGTGGGGACAAGAAGAACAGAAAATGAGCAGGGTAACCATCCAAGGCAGGCAGTGAGAGAGAAAAGGCAGAAAGCAATAGGGTCACCTCTCAGGGGAGGTGGCAGGCAGCATCTGACCACCACCACTACCACCCCCAAGTCCTACAGGCTCCACAGTGATGGGGAAGGTGTGGTGAAGAACAGGAGCCCACCATGCTCCATGCATCCTGAGTAAAACGGGGGGCACCTAACAGGTAGTGAGTGACCAGGCACAGCCTTCAACTCTTTCATGACACCTATTTCACATAGTGACCTGGTGCTTGGAACCTAACCATGTCGATAAATGTGGAGTTGGTGTATTATGATCCGCATGGTATATGATTTAATTTGGAATCTAAAGTTCAATGTTAGGCAGAAAATTGACCTTCTTCTGATTTCCTTCATTTCATGTTTAATGGTATCACCTGTACACCTAGAATATTATGATTATTAGAAAATCCATGGCATTATCATCTTCTTGTTATAATTCCAATGTGTATCACTGTACTGTTGTTACTGTTAGGTGCATTCGAGTCAGTTCCAACTTATAGTGGCCCTATGTACAACAGAACAAAACACTGCCCAGACCTACCCAATCCTTACAATTGCTGCTATGTTTGAGTCCTTTGTTGAAGCCATTGTATCAATCTACGTCGTTGAGGGTCTTCATCTTTTTCAATGCCCCTCTATTTTATCAAGCATGATGTCCTCCTCTGGGGACTTGCCTTTACTAATAACATGTCCGAAGTATATGAGACAAAGTCTCATCTTCTTTCCTTCTAAAGAGCATTCTAGCTGTATTTCTTGCAAGACAGATTATCACCATATCACTGTAGATGTAGCAACTTGTAAAACAATAGTTAAACTATTCTTGAACATCAAAACCAGACTTGTGAGCTCACTGGACCCAGGCATCCAAAAACTCTCACTGCCATGGGGTTGGATCCAATTCACAGTGACTCCTCTTTGGGTTTCCGAGGTGGTATCACTATGGAAGTAGATTGCCCAACCCTCTTTCTGAAGAGTGGCTGGTGGCTTTGAACTGGCAGCCTTCTGGTTAGCAGTCAAATGCCTTAGGCACTACACCACCATTGTTCTTGTTGTTAGGTGCCGTCAAGTCGTTTCCGACTCATAGCCACCCCATGCACAGCAGAACGAAACACTGCCCGATCCCGCACCAGCTCCACGATCCCTTCTATACTAGAGCCCATCATTGCAGCCACCGTGTCAATCCATCTTGTTGAAGGCCTCCCCCTCTTTCGTCGACCCTCCACGCTACCAAGCATGACATCCTTCTCCAAGGAATGATCGCTTCTGACAACATGATCAAAATAGGTGAGATGAAGTCTGGCCATTCTCGCTTCCAAGGAGCATTTCGGATGCACTTCCTCCAGGACCGATCTGTTAGTTCTTTTAGCAGTCCACGGTACTTTCAGCATTCTTTGCCAGCACCACAACTCAAAAGCATCAACTCCTTCGGTCTTCCTTATTCATCGTCCAGCTCTCACATGCATACGAGGCAATTGGAAATATCATGGTTTGTGTCAGGCATACCTTAGTCTTCAAGGAGACATCCTTGCTCCTCAGCACTTGAAACAGTTCCTTTGCGGTTGACTTTCCCAATGCTACACGTTGTCTAATGTCCTGACTGCTGCTTCCGTTGGCATCGATTGTAGAAACAAGCAATGTGAATTCTTCAACATCAATCTTCTCTCCATTTATTGTGATGCTGTTCATTGGGCCAGTTGTGAGGATTTTTGTTTTCTTTATATTGAGATGTAATCCATACTGCAGACTGTATTCTTCAACCTTCATCAGTAAGTGCCTCAAGTCATCCTCATTTTCAGCAAGCAAAGTTGTATCATCTGCATATCTCAGGTTGTTAATGATTCGTCCTCCAATCCTGATGCCACGTTTTTCTTCATATAGTCCAGCTTCTCTATTTGCTCAGCATATAGATTGAATAAGCATGGCGAAAGGATACAACCCTGACACACTCCCTTCCTGATTTTAAAACATGTAGTGTCCATGCCACCATTAGATAGTTATTAAGATGACTAAAAATACTTTGTCCTTTTGCTGAAATCCAGCTCAATATACTCACTATGAAAACATTTTTTCTCCCATTTAGCTAGTATTCTTTCAGCAGCAGTCCACACTGTTGTCTACTCTTCCATTTTCAATGTTCTCTTTGTCATACCTATTGCATTATATTTTCTCTAACCTCTCTGAATCTACTTCTTTGGTCTTATTTGCTGACCCATTCTCCTGTGTTGTTGATCCTCAGGCTCAACCCTAGTCTCCCTTACCTTCTCACTTATTCTATCTAGCCTCTAATACTTACGTCTAATGGTTCAATTGCCATCAGTATCAAATAAATACCAGAGTTGTACCTCTGTTCTGACCATCTGAATCATATAGATAAGTAGATATAAATATATAGATCAACTTGTGTATTAGATGGCTCCAACTGTATGTCCCAAAGAAATTTTATGTATCTGAAATTAAACTCAATTTTCATAGCATTCCCACTTCAAACTTCACCATTCTTCAATATTTCCCATCACAGGGAATATTATTATCATCTTAATCAATATGTGCAAGTTAGAAACCAGATTTTAACACCATTTTCTTTATCATTCCCCAGTCCACTTCAGAGTGTTTTTTAAAAAATATATTTTAAAAATATCTCTCAACCCATCTCTCTTCTTCATCTCCATCAATACCATCAAACTACCATGATCTTTTTTTGCATTACTACAATCAACTCTTAACTGATCTTCCTACAGCTAGCTGAGCTTCACTTCAAATCAATCTGTACACTCTAGTGAGAATAATCATTTGAAAATTCAAAACTTTTCACATGATATTTGTGAATAAAATACTTCAAGAAAGCCCCACTGTTGCTAGCAAATTACTTGCATGGCTTAAACTGCTCTTCTTGGTTTAATAGTTATCTATTTGTCAACTTTAACAACCTCATTTTATCATTCTTTCTTTTACTGAATTCCTGATTTAATGAATTCAAGACATTCTGATAAGAAGATACAAGGAACATTACTCTTTCAAATGTTATGACCTAAAATACATCTTCAGAGAACTTTAGTTTTAATGAGACCATGTTTTGAGCCTCTAAAGAAATAGCTCTACCCACAAGATCATACTATTGATCTTTGCCTTTAGATAGCAGGACACATAGATTTGTTTACAGAAAAAAAAATGAGATTACTTTTAAGACTATTCAATTAATTTGAAAGGAACCATCAAGTGTAGACTATCATGCTAAGGAACACAGCATAGATCACAATAAAATTACTTTTTAAAATTTGCACCAATGTTGATAAAGTCACTAATCACTTTTCACTGGCCAAGTGATAAGGAAATACTGATAGAATGCTCCACATTTCAAAATTCCAATGTTTTTACTTATTAGTACTCCAGTTCTTAAAAATAACTCACAGCTCTGACAACTGCCCCATATAGTATTTATATAACCATAGGCTATTTAAAAATATCTAGAACTTTGAAGTCTCACATACAGTAGTTCTTTGATCCCCAGTCTACCTCAAACAATGACATCAGTGGTTGTTAAATAGCAACTATCTACTTACCATATTGTAGGGGGCTCAGAACCTTCTATTTCTAAGTAATCATATTTTTCTTCCATTTGGAAATCAGTAAATATGAGTGAAATGGTGTCCCCAGGCTCTGCTACAATGGTCCAAGTGCAATCAGCATTGTTATGATACTCATTTGGAAAGCTAGGGCTTGAAATTATGCCGCTGGATCCTCTCATTGTTCCTCCACATGCATCCTCAGCTGTTAAAAGACAAGATATTTAGCTATAAGTTATTAAGAGAAATGCCATTAAAGCAATTCTGTTAACATTGTTTTGGATAAACATAAGTCTAAATAGTGTTATACTAAGTATATAATGTCCTAGTATAAAAGATTGAATAAAATGAGAAGTCTATGAAAAATTTGCAAGCACATATATAAATATAAACTGTGTCTTAATAATTTTATAGCAAGTGCTTGAACTAGCAATAAAAATGAGCAAAATTCCAAGCTCCAAAATTAGATCACAGAATAATAGAAAAAAAGATTTGCTTTTCATTAAGTGATGAAGTGAGTTACACAAAAGAAACATTATTCTCAAGGTCTGTGATGGGAAATCTTTAATCATTCTATGTATGTTTGTTGATGGCAGATATTTGTGTTAATTTATTTTAATGTCAGTATGTACAGAATAAAGAAATTATTTAAGTGAGAATGTAATATAGTTTCTGCCAGTGACATGCCTCAAAAATATTGAAAAATGCCTGTGGAAATGCAATTCAAATAAAAGTGTATCACATGTCCAGAATATTTTAATTAGAAATTGTTGTTGTTGCTGTTATGTGCCGTCGAGTTAGACCTGACTCATAGCGACCCCTCCTTGTGTTTCCGAGGCAGTATCACTATGGAAGTAGATTGCCCAATCTTCCTTCCGAGGAGTGGCTGGTGGGTTGAACTGCCAGCCTTCTGGTTAGCAGTCAAGTGTCTTAGCCACTATACTACCAGAGCTCTTAATTAGAAATAAATTATATAATAAATAATATATCTTCAGTCATATTCCCCCCTATGACTCCAAAAAAACTATGTAAACATCTTGTTTTGAACTATTCTTGTGATATATGTATATACAATATTATAATTACATGTTCTAGTAACCTAACATTTAGACCTATGTTTTTCATTTTCCAACAGGGATGATAAATGTTCCTCTACTTTACTTTTAGCCAATGGTGAATTCTTGCATAGTTAAATGAGCAGCTGTATTTAGTATGAATCTACACTATACGACAAAACTCTCTGTAATGTTGAAGCTATAACATCTGTTAGAAAACTGCTTACACCATCTATCCTAAGAGGTTATAGGCTAATAGTTTTCCAGAGCAGGAAAACAAAACTATGGTTTTGGGGGACAACTTTATTAATATATCATATGTGTCAAATTGCTTTAGCTTCTTACTGCTCCATTTTTAGTTGACCCAATACCATAATTCATAAACTGAAGCATAAATATATTTTTCTTAAAAGATAATTAACTTTCATCAAAAATTATCATAAACATAATGCGTATTTATTCTCATCAAGTCCCCTTTCAGGTTCTTAAGTTACTCTTTCCATTCCAAATGAGCCCTGGTAACAAAGTGATTAAAATGCTAGGCTGCCAAGCAGGTCAGCAGTCGGAACCCACCAGCGACTCTGCAGGAGAATCTGCCTCCCTAAAGATTCCAGCCTTGGGAAACCTATGGGGACATTTTACTCTGTCCTATAGAGTTGCTATGAGTCAAAACTGACTAGACGGCAACAGGTACTATTTCGTAAGTTAATTTGGTAATTATAATGATAGCATAGTGTCTAAGGCACTCGACTGCTAACCAGAAGGCTGGTGGTTCAAACCCACTAGCCACTCCTCAGAAGGAAGATGAGGCAATCTAGTTCCATAGTGATACTGCCTCGGAAATCCAAGGAGGGGTCGCTATGAGTTGGGTCTGGCTCAACGGCACATAACAACAACAACAACAGAATTATAATTGGGGGTATTGTCTAGACAATGCAATATCTTATCACAGTGCTTTCTTACTTACCAGAATACACAATGCTCTCAAAGCCTCAACCTTCTGGTAAACGTGTCCTGCACCCCCATTTTCAGTCATGAATCACTTTTCAATACCTTGTCAATACCAACACCAAGCATTGAGTATGGCTTTGGAAATAATATATTATATTATCATATATTAGAAGGAGCTCTGGTGGTGTAGTGATTAAGGCATTTGGCTTCTAACCAAAAGGTCAGTAGTTCAAACTCACCAGCTTCTCGGTGGCAGAAAGGTGAGGCAGTCTGCTTCTGTAAAGAGTTAGAGCCTGGGAAACCCAATGGGGGTCCCTAGGAGCCAGAATCAACTCAATGGAAGTGATTTTGGTTTGGCTGCTATCCTGTATTAATAAGATAACACATACAGAATTTGTCTTCACCCTTCCAAGAGGTACTCTTGGGAGGATATAAGACAACTCCATGGCAGAGCTCTCTCACAAAAGTCCTGCATTTAGTCTTCTGAAAACATATCCCTTTGATTCATCTCTGGAAATGCAATTTCTTATAAAAGTAACTCTCTGGGTTCGAAATACACATTCTTCATGTAGATATTTCAACCATGGTTTTAATAAGAACTTATTGTCTCCCGCAAGTTACAGGGCTTGCAAATCAATCTCTGTGTATGGTCACCTTGAAGTTCGTCAGTCTAGGCCTACAACAGAGTGAAACTACCCCACACTCCTAACACAGACAACGAGGAGGATCTCACAGAAGAGTTCACTCTAAATAATTTTTTTTAACAGCAGAAAGAGACAAAAAGCAGTTGAAAAGCAGCACTGTTGAAGTTTCTCCATCCCTGAAACCAACATTCTTGTCAATTCTTATATCAAGTTAATTGCTCAGCTCTTCTGTTTGACCCCCTTATTACCATTGAGATGATCATAAAAGCAGTATCTGACTTAATTGTGAAATAAGTAAAGCTTGTTTTCAGTGAACACTTAGATACACAACATTTTTGCATGATGACTCTACCTGGTTGTTAGAACTTCATATTGTAATTTGGCCTGAATTTAACATGTCTATAAAACTTGGAAGGAAGTTTGGGCAATCTACTTCCGTAGTGATACTGCCTTGGAAACCCAACGAGGGGTCGCTATGAGTCGGGTCCGACTCGACGGCACATAACAACAACATAAAACTAATATGTATTTGATAGCAAGGTAAATTATCTAAATCTTAACTTGTATTTTTTAGCAGAGTTAGAACAAGGGAAAGATAGCATTAGAACAAGACAATAGAACTTTTGAATCCAACATTCGTGCCCCTTCTGCCAAGCAACATTGCTTGGTCTCCAGTCTAAATGAGTGGCCTCATTGCCTGTCAATGACAGGGCAGAGATGTCTACTCTTTAGTCTTATTTCATTTTGGGCAACATGCTTGCCTGTATCATAAGTGTTTCTGCAACATCTTTCCAACCATGTATTCAAAGGGCAGGTTTCACAGAAGGCTGTTCAACAGAACTATTACTTAAAAGAATCAAAATACACATGCATAATATTGCTCATTTGTATAATTTTTTTTTTAGAGAAATTTAAAATGCATTCCTTTATTCATCTATTCAAAAAAATTTTCACTGAGCAGGAACCATGCCAGTCACTGAGGCCAAAATAATGATCAAAAGTAATCTTGACCCTTGCCTCATGGAACTCAGTCTAGTGGGCAAATCGGGCTCTAAATAAATGATGTGATACACATGGGACTGTATTTCTGGCAGGAACCGTGAAGAAGGGGCATTTAGAATGGACATCCTGTGTTTAGGGTCCTTGACCTGGTTAGGCAATTCAGGAGCACTCTCCTGAGAAACAAGGCTGAAAGATGAATTGATAAGAAGTGTGTAGTCCCTGGTGACACAAACATCTAAGCACTTGGCTACTAAAGGTTGGTGACTGACACTTCCCAGAGGCATTTGACTGCTCACCAGAGGGCTGACAGTTCAAACCCACCAGGCACTCCTCAGTATGAAGATTGGGCAATCTGCATTTGTATGATATCACCTCAGAAACCCAAGGAGGGGTGGCTATGAGCCAGATCCGACTGGACACAGTGAGTTTGGTTCTTTTTACTTTTTCTTTCTTTCTTTCTTTTTTTTTTTTTTAGAGGTGCCTTCTTGGAAGAAAAACTTGGTGCTCTACTTGTGAAACATCACAGTCATTGAAAACCCTGTGTAGCATAGACAACATGAACAGGAACCAACTGGTTTGTTTTTTGTTTGTTTGTTTAGATGGCAAGCAAAGGAAAGAGTGTTCCAAGAAGGGAGAGCGGCAGGTACAAAACCTCTCTTGTTGGATGGAAATGTGCATGCCCAAAATGGGAAGAAAGACTGTGCCAGAGAGGAGCCAGGAAGGGGCTGCATACCCAATGATGTTTGAATAGCAGCAGGTGACAGGAGCAAGTAGGTTTCTTTTGACAACACTATGGTATTTCTTCAGATGAGCAGAGGGTAACATGATCAGATTTGGAGATAAGAGAGGAGGGAAACTAAGGAGGATGAAAGTCATGAGGGTGAATCAAGAGTCCAGGCAAATATGCATATTTTATTGCTTCCTAAGGATACACTGCTGAACTGCCTTTTGTTCATTCTATCTTAAAATATTTTTATCTCAATATCAAAAGATTAGTCCCCCCACCACATGCACTGTGGAAATAATAGATCATGGCAAAATAAATTAGAATACTCCTCCTATGTTAAATTATAAGACCAATATTTATTCAGCTACCTGCTAAAGCAATGCTATTAAATATGTTAGGGATTCCTTGAGATTAACTTAGTTTTATACCTGTTTCAAAAATACAGTTACTTAACAAATAAGGATATAGTTTATAATGAAAATATTGGCATTTCTCTATTCAAGAGAACAAGTCTAAGGAAAGTATATAGGTTTTAAGATTTCAAGTGAGAGAAACATTCCTATATGTATACTCAGGAGCTCTGGTAGCGTAGTGCCTAAGGCACTTGACTGCTAACCAGAAGGCTGGCGGTTCAAACCCACCAGCCACTCCTCGGAGTGCCTCCAGTGTAACATTCATTTGTTGAAACATCCTAATTGGTATCTCATCAATTCCTGGAGCCTTGTTTCTTGCCAATTCCTTCAGTGCAGCTTCAACTTCTTCCTTCAACACCATTGATTCTTGATCTTTTGCCACCTCCTGAAATGTGTGAACATCAACCAATTCT